TTTGTCTCTTCTCATCTTTGTCAAGTTCCTTTTATTATGCCAGTGTGGCAACTGCAACAAATCTCTATTGTAAATGAAATAAAACAAAATTATCCCATTGCTGTTCTAACTTATTATTTGTATAACTTTTAACTGTTTAAATCTTTATCCAATTTAATTTGTAAATCCATTATTTCCTTCTCTTTCTTGTAGGCTACAATTTTTAAGTCCATCTGTAAAACAATTTCAGTTTTATTCAGTAGAATTTGTTCCTCTTCAAGAACATCTTCTGATTGCATTATAGAGTTAAATAACTCAGAAGAGCTACTGTACACCCATTCAGTAACATTTCTTTTAAGGTAGCTATTTGTCGCCCTCTACTATCCAACCTTCAAGGCATCATATCAGCTTCCCAATAAAAACAAGGGAATTTCTCCAGGAGAAAGGATCCTTTAAATTAACTTAAAAGTCTTAAATTCATTGGAGCCCTTAATCTGTTTACAACTTTCTAAGGCCAATAGTAATCTTTGGTAATCTCCCTTTTGCTATATATTCAGAATAGACTTTTGCTGATTAATATGAAAAAAATGAGTTTTTAGAGACGAGCTTATAGAGCAGTGGTTCTCAACCCGTGGGTCGGGACCCCATTTGGGGTCGAACGACCATTTCACGGGGGTCACCAAACAAGGCTGTCCGCCATTTTTTTCCCCTTTTCTTTGGCCACGCCCCTGGCACCCGGTGATATATAAGTGGTTGGGGGTCACCACAACATGGGGAACTGTATTATGGGGTCGTGGCATTAGAAAGGTTGAGAACCACTGTTATAGAGAATGAAATGAGGTATGTAATAAAGAGGCATTTGATTGTATTTTAAGAGAAAGTGATAAATTATTAATGTTGATTATACTCTCTGGGAATTAAGGAGCTTTATCTTTTCTCCTTTTTGCTCTTTTTTCTGAACTTTTAAATTTTTATTTAGTGTTTCTATATTATGTACTCGAATTAGTTTTATCTGTAGTTAGTATAATCTTTAATAAAATAAAATTTCTTTCTGGAATATTTTTTTTTATTACATTAATCTAGCAATGAATGTAGCGCATTCTGTGATTAGGGGAGTTACACTCAGCTTAATGTGTCACAGTTCTCCAGGTCTTATGTGGAGGACATGTCAAAAACTCTGAGAAGATAATCTGAAGTTTAGTTATGAGTAAAAATAAACGTTATATTATGAGACTGGATTAACTGATTAAAATGCAGTTTAGCAGTGCAGGTTATGTCTTAAATCATTTACTTTTTAAAGCCAGCAAATCATGTCATTGAAGGAACTGTTTATTAAGACTTTACTGTAAGTTATACTGCCACTAAACGTGTTCAATATTTTCTTTTTCCCTGAGACTTGTGTATGGACAGAACTTTACAAGATAGAGAGACATTTCTTGAAGCCTTTACACACTGGACTTAACATGTCAAAAGCACACTATGAAGCAGAAATAAAAAGGAAGAAAGAAAATAAAAGAGGTTAGTTTATGTCATTATTTTGTGCATGTCTTAGTTTTCACAGGCACAAAGGAAGGCCGCAGTTTAGACTAAGATATTTGGACTGTGTGAAATGTAAGTAACAAATGGAGCAATAGATCTATTTAAGGAGAATATATGAAATTTCTCCTCACCATATTCCATATGTAAATAGAGATGGCCAAAACCTCAAAGGGATCTTGATCTAAGAATGGAATTTAGGTTTGAACCGGAGACCTTTGGACTTTAAGCAAAGGTACAGCTATGTCATTAAATGTGACCTTTCACTATAAAATGGAACTATTTTTTTCACTATAAAATGGAACTATTACAAAGAGCAGGAATCTGTGACTTTTAAAAAATTTAGTTCAGAATAATGATGTATATTTTTGTGAGTTGGCTATTTTAGCTAATAATACAGGATTTGCATTCTGATTGCTATTAGATATATAAATTGGAAGTTTAGTGTTAAATTCTATTAATGGTCCATTATGCAATATAAAGAGTAAAATACATTTTCTGGATGGGAAAGAGATATTTTGTGTCTTGCATAATTATAGGTTGACTTCAGCATGACAAAATTGCTAATCCCCAGTAACCCTATAGAATAGAAAGAATTTATAATTTTGGTTATCATCTCAGTACCTTTAACCTGTGGAGGTTCACTTGGATACCAGTTTTTGTTTCCTTTTGGGCATATATATTCCAAATTTGAATTTAAAGTACTGTATTAAAGTATCCAGTATAATGTTGGGTGGTGCCATTGAGTCAGTGTTGATTCTGCAAGTCACAGAAGTTTTCTTTGCAAAGATAACTGTTAATATTTTAGATAGCAAAAACAACTAATTCAGTGTCAGATGTACTAAAAACATCAACTGCTCACTGAAAACAACAATAATGCAATTAAAATACCTGGAGCTTATAATGCTAAGATAACAGCCATCAGTGAAAATTCTAATGCTTGGAAAGTACTAAAAACAGTCTATAGAGTCAGCAGCTAATGAATAACAAATTTAATAAATTAAGTTAAATAGAGGCTGACAGTAAACGAGGAGGAGGGTTAGTTACTCTCATTGAAGACACAAGTGTAAATTTACAAGGACTCAAAGAAACTGTTACACATACTCCCAGGAAAACATTGTGCAAAGCATTATAGATAAATGATCAACTGAACAAAATTTTAAAAAATAGCATGCATGTACAATCATTGGTTTATACTTGCCTTTTTTTTTGGACAATTCAAGATGATGTACATAATAAATGCCCCAGTTACCTGATCAACTTCCATGCAAAAAGGAGCACTTACAATCTCCCATCATCACACCAAACAACTTGCCATCCAGATTCAATTGAGATGGGTGGCTATAGAAATTGAATGAATGAATGAGTGAAAACTAGCTCTATGTTAAGAGTTGTCCTCTAAGAAATGCCAAGTAAAGCTGATTGCAGGGCATACTTAAATATAGTGAGTTTCAAGCCAAAGTGAAGGTACAGGGAGTTATATATTAATAACCTTTATTCTTTTCCATAGCACAGCCTCCCAGTTCTAAAAAGACTTGTGCTCAATTGGTAGCTGAAGCAAAGATGTCAGGAATTACAAAGGACATGGAGCTTCAAGTGAGTAATTTGTTTTTAGGGAAACTACTAAAATGTGTGTGTCCTTTTACTTAAGGATTTGATACATCAGTATTCCCAAGATACTTCTAAATTTGTAATGTCAATCTGTTTCAGGCTCTTCACTCTGCACTTTTCACATTTGATTTAATGGAAAGTGTTCTGGCAAGAGTAGAAGAACTCATTGAAAACAAAGGCTGCAACTGAAGAAACCACTGGAGTCAAATAAAATCTTTATTTCAGTATTTCACTTGTTAAGTCGGACTGACCAAAATATAACATGCTAATTTTTTTAAAAAATGCAAAATAATAATTATTACAGACTTCTAGAGAGGTTTTAGAATATATCTTTCCTCCTGAACCTTCAGACATTAGTCCTAGGATTATATTGTGCTCCTGTTATATTTTGAATGTCAGAACCGCAGGTATCTATCACCATGCAGTTTCACACTAACGTTTTATGTAACACACTACCTATTTATAAAGGCATACTATGAAATAAAGTATCAATATAAAAGTAAGCAAAAACTACAAAAGGTATTACTTGGTACAATCAGTTTTATTCACAAAATTTATGATTAGACGGATTACTAAAAATTGAGGGAAACTATTGTTCTGCTTAAATCCCATGAAAATCAGATGCAGAGAATTGGTGAGACCCTCCAGGGCAGTTTGAGAAACACAATGGAAGGGGTGGAAGATAATTGGCAAAAGTTGTTTACTTTCTCTTGACCCTTCCCCCTCTAGATGCAAGTCTCAGTTAGATTGTAATTTGTTCTATGAATAGTAGGACTTTTTCCATTAACAGAATCCAGCTGGTGAAGTCTCATACAAGTGAATCGATTGACAAAAGCTGCTTATAATTTAATTCCTATCTTTGTCACACAGGCTTATTATATACAGATGTGTTGGAAAGATTATTCTTATTGCATAAATTTCAATCTGTATGATACAAATCCCCATTGTATAGTAATACAAAGAGAAGAAAAATAGCAACATTGCTAAAATACAGAATAAGAATTATCAGAAAACAAAAAATAGAAGTGAGTAAACTATTGTCATGTAAAACTCTAAAGTTAGAATCATGTCTATTAATTGCTCTTCTGTACTTTTGAATAATGACCATTTCCCCCCCAAAATTAATTAGAAGGTATTGATATTTTTATTTACAAGTTGTGGTTTATATCTATCCTTTTGCTTATTGAAATGAAAGTATGTAAAGATAATATTCCTTTCTTTGTACCGGAGATTAAACATCTAATTACAGAGAATTTTTTATTCTGAATATATTTATTAAAGTGTATTTTCAGACAGGTGTTCTGATTTTTTTTGTGAGTGTGTTTTTTAAAGCAGAAAATAAAGGTCATTTTTTTTAACAGTTTGGATGGTGTTTAACTTTAATGCAGTTGACTATGATGAAGCATTTTCCAAACAGGGCTTTGCTCTATAATCTGTGTCTTTGCCTTTAGCATTCTATAGTGAACATTGTCCAGAAAGGGTTTTGAAGAAGTCTTCCAATAATAAAGAAATACAATAGGTTATGGTAATCATTTATGTATTATGTCATAACAGTTGAGAAGGATTGGAGGATTTTACCATCCAATATCCAAGCAAAAGTTCTATAAATGCCATTTTCTCAAGTGGTTGAACTCTTAGGCTTAATTCTGAATTTACATTGATGTGATCTAAACAGAAATAATTCAGTACTATCTGCTCTTAAAAACATATATTAAAATATCCTTGTAACAAAAAGCAGTTTTGAAATTGGAAATCTACTGTGGCAGCATCATGCAGTTACTTTCAAGGTACTGTACAACAAATGAATCTATTTGAGTGCAAATATTTATATTAATGTAAAAACAAAATTCTTAAAATACAAATTCTGCACTTACCTTTGCTATGGTCAACATTAATTTAACACCTTCAGCAGTATTATGGATTGGAAGTATTCGTAAATTACTGCCTAAAAATCTTAAGCAGAGAATTTTTATAAATATCCATTTGTACTTTAAACTTTTTAGTGCAGATAAAAATAATATACAATTACATAAATGTATATGATAGTAATATTTAGCTACTCATTCATATTTCTTGGCTAAGACAGTGGGAGATAGATATATAAATGTTTAAGATGAGAAGTAGGCTAATTTACTGTTAATAAATGGAACACTAGTCCACATATCTCCATTTTAGAATAGAAAATACCACCATGTTGGAAAGCTGAAAGGTATACTTGCACTTTAACCCATGACTATTCTACAAGGAAAAAAAAAATTGTGCCCATCCTCTCCTAGATCTTTGATATGAGATCTTTTTGAGTTGTGATGTCAAAAATTAAACATACTTATTCATGCAAAAAATGTTATGTTGTTGGATTGTATCCCTCTGGCAGTGTTGAAGGTTAGCCTATGCTCTAGCCCCATTGGTGTCAGATGATGAATTAGAACTCATACCTTAGTACCTTCTTGGACCAGTGCACCACAGAAGACACAGCCTTGTATTTTTTCAGGATAAATATCTGAACGTTATTATTTTCTCTGAACATGTACCCATCCTTTTGCTATTATTGGCCTTGTACTTGGTGTTAGTAACAAATATGGACACCAATCTTTCACAATTATTTATGAGTTATACTGTAAAGCAAAGATCTCCAATCTTGGCAACTTGTGGACTTCAACTCCCAGAAATCTGAGGGTTGTAGTCCACAAGTCTTAAAAGTTGCCAAGGTTAGAGATCCATGCTGTGTAACATAGTCACCCACTCTCTTTCTTCCCTCCTAAGCAAATAGAGGATAAGCATAACTAGCTGCATGTTCGCCTATTAGTTGTAGTCTCCTTTGCTGCTTCTTTGTTATCTTCCCTCTACTGAAACAATGTTAAATCTAGCAAACCGTATTGTTTTGGTTATATTATTCTGTAACAAGCCATGTACTTTGATGACACTATAGAATTACATTTTGTTTCTTGAGATAACAATGCATTCTATAAGAGGAACCATAATTAAGAACCAAGTGCAAGGATGTCATGGTTTTACACTAGTTGAAGCTTCAACATTTCTAAATAAAGGGATCAGGAAATGAAAATAAAATGGAATTTTAAGTAGATGTTCCCTTAACATCTGCCAATCACAATACTAGTGAGATAATAAAATGAAGTTTACATCTAATATGATAAAAAAAATGCCAAGTTGACAAGTATACAAAAATAAATTCCTTATACATATTTGTATTATCTCTGCTAGGGCCAATCTTCTATGCACTAGTATTTACTCAAGAATATACATCCTACTTTTCATCCACTATAATATCAGGCTAGTTAGTTTGATCTGATATAGATCAATTTAAATATTTCTGTGTTGCTTTTCAGCTGTGAAACTCGCAGCTGTTTTATAACAGTAGATTAAGCCCTGGAAAACCTTGAGTGTATTTGAACTGTTTTATGAACTACATTTGCATGTCTAATTGCTTCCATTCCAACAAAAATACAGAAATGCCAGCTGCTGCAGTTAAAATGATGATTGGTGATTGTATTCTTGCTAGCATAGAACCATGATTGGAGGCTGAAATTAGGGGAAGATTGGTCTGGTTCTGCTGGCTATGTACATATGAAATTTTTCTCATCCTTTCCTCTGCCTTTCCATATTCCTTATCCTAAACTAGAGCTAAACAACTAATAAATTATATTTGCTCCCTTCTGGAAGGAATTGCATTCTTTATTTTCACAAATGATGTCTATACGTTAGTATTTTTTAATTCCCTAAGAAATATAGCCGTTGCTGTAATATAATTTGCTAGCTGCTAACTTAATTTTAAAAAAACTAATAAAAGAATAATCTTGAATTTCTCAGTGCCCTTCAACCCACAAATTTAAATCCAAATTTGCAACATCAGGACATGTTCAGCTCCTGTAATATTCATAGCATGCTCCTCTTCTCATCTAGGATTTTATACTATGCATTTTGATTGCTTCTTAATTGGAATAAAAACCTTCCATTGTCAAACATAGGTATGTTGGAAGGTTTGTAAATATTTACTTGGTAGCATTATCTCACTGAAACCAGACTCCTGTTTTACATGAATATCTGTTTGGGAATTATTAATTTGTATATTTTTTGTGCGGGTCTTCACAATTTCCAGAAAGCTCAAGAGGGACAAAAAGTGATAGCAGGTCTTACTGATTTATCTACTTTATTACCCCTACTTAACTATGTCAAAATAATGATACCCCAACTATATATAAAAAGATAGAGAAAGATAAAAAACAGAAAATATAAGTGCTCTATGCCCACCTTTAATTATAACACACACACACACACACACACATACACACACACTCACTGCAAAATGGAATGGATATTTACATATATGTACGCATTAGATTTTAAATATTCTTCAAGGGCAGGTCCATGCAGAGTGTGTTACAATAGTCTAGGAAGCTTTAGGACATGAGTGATTGTGAACAGAGCTTTCTGATCCATAAATGGTCACAATTTAGGTAGAACTGTGCAAAAGCTTCTATGCCACAGCTGCCACTTGTTCTTCAAATAGGAATTGTGAGCCTATAGGAATGTGATTATGGGCCATCCCTGAGCAACCTGCTCAGAGTCAAGAGATGGAATTTCCCTGACATCATTAGGTCACCAATCCAAATCCACCTTGCAGGCATTTAACAGCCTCCAGGCACTGGACCAGCCCTTTCATAGCATTGCTTTGGCCTGGGGTTAGACCAGTGGTTCTCAAGCTTTCTAATGCCGTGACCCCATAATACAGTTCCCCATGTTGTGGTGACCCCCAAGTGGGTGTGGCCACTAATAAGAGGGAGTAGGACAGCTAGGGAAAAGGGGAAAAAATGGTGGACAGCGTGGTTTGGCGACCCCCGTGAAATGGTCATTCGACCCCAAATGGGGTCCCGACCCACAGGTTGAGAACCACTGGGTTAGACTGATCCGTTCCATCATAACCAACTGGCAACACAACTTTAGAAAGGAAGGAAATCGCTGCAGAACAGTGCCATCCTGCCCCAATGCTTTAGAGAGTAGAAGGATACAATGGTCAATGGTATCAAAAATTGTTGGGAGACCAAAACTTGCATTCCCCCAATCATAGTCTGTCCAAAGGATATCCACAAGCACAAAAATGCATTTTCTATGTGGTAACCGAATTTCAGCCATGACTATAAAGGGTCCAAATGATTGATAATCTATATATTATGAGCTGCAATATAACAATGTAAAGTGCTTTTATTATTTGGCTTGCTTTCACTGAATGAACAGAAATAAATTATCTTAAATAGTATGAGTCAGCAAATGCTATAAATCTGTCCATTTTCCACTAGTAGTAGTAATAAAGCAAATTTCAAATTATGATTTAATTATTTCATACCTTTGCTGAATTCTGAACATCATTTCCCATTCTTTTGGTCCGTGAAGGGCAGCTGATAAAAGTAAAAATCCATTTCTATGAATGGTCATGAACTTCTTTATTCTTTCAAAAATGACTTTGCTATTTATCAATAGCAAATCTTGAGTATCGGCAAGCAAAAATGCAACACCTGAAAGAGAAGAACTTTTTATTAAGCTATACTTAATTGTTGATTTAAAAGAGTACATATACGGTATGATTTATATATGGTGGGGTATATACAGCTGTTCAAACTGAAAAATTTACATAAAGCTGCATCCTAAATCCACAATACTGAAGATTAATGTAAATTCCAAGAAGAAAGATGAAAAAATAGTAGACATTTTGGATAATATTTGTTACAATGGTATTATTATCTTGAAAGTTTTGTGCAGCAGTCCTAATACTATTATAACATAAGGGAATTGGCAAGGCCCAAAGACCCAGAAAAACTGCTTTTCTAATTCAGAACCCCTCATCATCCTTGTATTATTCACTAATTATTTCATTATATTTATTTCACCATAATTAAATCATTTCTATTTTTCAAAGCATTTTCTTTTCCCATGTATGCATTAATGTACTTATATGTACACCATGTACACCATGTATTCAAAATAAAGTCTGTTTAAGCAGAAATTCTTACTCACTCCTGAGTTTCTAAATGTCCATATCACTTTTTCTGTGAACTGAACTCATTCCCACTGTTCCTTTCATGTCACCTAACAGAGTAGTTTTGTCCCACTGGATCATATTCATTCAGTGTTTCATAATGTTTCTTAAAATTCATTTTTAATCTATTTTCATCATTCTCTGGAGCATAGCATGTTGGTCCATGAATCTATGAATTGATACTTTCATATGCATCCACAATAATCTGTATGACAACAACTGCTTTCTAACATATACCTTCACTCATGCGTAGTTCTCATTTAACAATGGCAATTGGGACTGGAATTTCTGCTGCTAAGCAATATGATCATAAAGAGGTTAAGTGACTGGCTCGCTTAGCAGTGCAATCCCAGCAATCCCTGTTATTGTCATCAAGTGAGGATCTCAGGTTGTTAAGTGAGGAACCACTTTGAACTTCCTGCCCGCTTCCAATAAGCATAGTAAATAGGGAAGCTGGTAATTCCTGGGCAGCTTGCAAGCAGGCTGGTGGGTGGCTAAGTAGCTGCTGTGGCATAGTGTGGCCCTGGCCAGGGATGGTGGTGCTTGTGGTGGTGCCAGGTAGGAGGGTGTGCTGGTGGCTTCCAGGGTGCTACATCAGCATGGGTAGGTGGGTGCGTGTTAATGGACTGTGGGTGGGTGGGCTGCAAGTGGATGCATGCTATGGAGTATGACATCATTGGATCTTGCCCTCCATAGCTAGGCTCCTCAGGAGTGGCTGAAAAGGGAGAGAGTTATAGGAGTGACTTGTCATTTTCCCTGCCAGCTTCTCCACTGACTTTGCTTGTGGATAGCTAGCAGGAAAGGTTACAAATGGCAATTACATAACTGGAATTTTGCAGGCATTGTAAGTGCAAGCTTCTTTCCAAGCACACAGATTGCAATCACATGATCCCAGGTGTGCTGGAACAGCTGGAACTTTGAGGTTGGATTATAAGTATCACTTGTTCAGCACCAAAGTATCTTTGAATAGTTACTGAATGGTCATTAACTGAAGACTACCTGTAGTTACACCTACGCTTTCACTTAATGCATGTATTAATCAATTTCACTTTCGTGAGATCAGTCTGCTTTTATTTTGATCTATTATATCCTTTCCATTTCATGGATACTAGTTTCAAAAGGCATAAAGTACCTATTTTTCTTTCTCTTTTTTCATTAGGTTTATGCTTGTCAACGATTTATCCCATTTAAAGTAAGCCATTTTGGTGTAGTGGGTAAGATGTTGGCTTAGAAATCGGGATCATGAGTTCTAGGTCTCCCTTAGGCATGAAACTGACTTTGGGCTGCTGACTTAGCTGCTAACTTCGAGCCAGTTACTCCATTTGAACCCAACCCACCTCATAGGATTGCTTTTTGTGGGGAAAATTAAAAACTATAAGAATGTACCAGAAAGTGAGAAAATAATAGATCCATTTTCCACTGCATCTGAATAACGAACCCGGTGTTGCTGGTTTTGCAAGATTGTTGAAATTTCATGATCCTAAATAACAAAATGTTATATTAAAATATATTCTGTCCCTTAAGTAGAATGGTCATTGAAACATTCAAAATAGTTTAATATACATAAATACTAATTTTAAAAACCCTGCAATCTTTGTTATGGTGGATCAGTCTAAGAGCCCATTTAGCCAAGCCCTCTCTTTGCAAAAGCTGATAAACAAATGCTTATGGATGTTCCAGTGATGGAATGAAACTAATTATATTGTCTTTTCTTTTTCCTCCAATCTTGTAGGGAATAATGCTTCCCTTGCATATTATAGTATAATTTGGATTTGTTAGCTGTCTACTGTTATCAGATCTACTTGGTATTTCTTTCTAACTTTAAAAAGTAAACAAAATTACTGTCTAAACTGGAAGTAAAATGTATAATTGAATAACATGCTTCATACAGTGCTTCAATTACTTGGTTTATGAGAAAATATTTTTTCCATTCTTTTTAGTTTAAAAATTAAAAATCTTTTCACCTTCAGCCAATTAAAATAAAATGCGGTGAGGTTGCAGTTTTTTATTTAAAAAGTTGGGCCATTATTTTTTCAACAACACAATTTCATTGTGAGCTGTTTTGAGCTTTCTAAAGAATCCAACATCTATAAAAACATGCAAGCAAACATAGTTAGCTATGTAATTATTCTCAGTTACAAAAACATTATCATCCTGAGATAGGCTAATTAAATTTTCCCATTTTTTTTCTTCTCATCTAGTCAGAAATGCTATTTTTTAAAAAAGATTTGACAGTAGAGTGCCTTTAAAGAACCAATCCTGCCAACAACAAAAAAGGAAAAATACTTTCTTAATAAAATCCTTTAATAGTATTTAGAAACAAAGAGTATCCAGTTTGGTCTAGTGGTTATGGCACTAGAGTAGAAGCCAGGAGAGTGCAAGATCTAGTTTTGCCTTACGCATGAAAGTTGAATGGGTAACCTTGGCCAGTTGCTCTCCCTCAGCTCAACTTGTAGGGGAAGATAGGAAGATAGGAGGAGGAAAGAGTATTAGGTATGTTTGCCACCTTGAGTTATTTATAAAAATAACAAATATGGGATGCAAGGTAAATAAATGGAGTAATAATAAAGATAAACTCTACAGATGTATCTATCTCCCTGAAAGCAAATATAAAATTTTCTATGCAATTTTCTCCATTGCATCTTTCTCATTAGACTATTCAATGTGCAGTCTGATTGCTATTAGCTAACTAAAGGAAGAGTCTATAAGAGAAAAGAAGAGAAAGGCAACCCGTAGGTGAGCATCATCTCTACTCACAAGTAATAAAAACAAATTATAAACTTTGTTGGGTAGCAAGAATAGCTTAGTGTGCCATGCAAACACATCTCACTATTTTAAAAAAATCAATACAGTAGATGTGGCTGCTTTCCTTCTCTCCAAACAGAAGCAATGTTGTGATTCTTCTATAATTATTTGTTTGTTCCAGTAACAGAATTGCATCTAACATTGGGATAGGCAATCTAAGAAAACTTGCGTTGGAGATTCCATATAGGCTTAGAAGCACTTCAGAAGAAACAAGGATGGGTGGCTGTAACCTACGGCTTAGCTTAGACATAAGCCACCTCCCCAGAAATAAACAAATAAAAATAAATTATATCGATAAGAATATGTGAGGGCTAGAGAAGGATAAGAAGTAACATCCCCAACATGCCTTTTTATAAATTAGTGTTTGGTGCCTGGCCATGCTGTTTCTGTGTAACAAGCTTATGAATAGGCAACCCTTCCAAATGACAGTCTTTTGGTGAGAACTTTCATGACATACATTACCTGGAGAGATGAACTCAGAATTATTGTAGTAATCCATCGTATTTTTTCTTGACCACAACTTCCAGACATTTTGGCAATCACTTATACTCTGGAATGTAATTCCACTTAAAGTTACCTACTGTTGGACAAAATAGTAAAAATAATATTTATGTGTTGTAAGGAACATTTGCATATGTTGTTATCCTCATTTTTAGTTGCCAAAATATAGAAACTGAGCAACACAAACAAGAAAATCCTCACTGCCTTTGGCTACAATTTTAAATGTGTGTGTTTAGGAGCAAGTTCCTCTGGATTTTGACAAGCATGGTGTTGTTTAAAAAGAGAAATACAATGCCTCTTGGTTAAGTGAGGAACATCTGTATATATAGAATTAAAGTAATTTCTTGTGGATAATAATATATGATGATTATATTGCTCTTGCAATTAGGATGTTAAGGGGCACAATAAAATGAATCGAAGACTGGGATTATATTATAGTATAGTTTAGTCCCTAAAGCTCACTGGATGATGTGGGAATAATCACTACTTCTGAGCCTGGTTAATGGATTCATACATAGAAGCTTAATGAGGAAAAAAAAAACCCTCTTACTATCAGCAGCAGTAATGACAGGCAAAAATTCATCAGGTTCATTCTGTCTGGCATGCAGCAAAGAAAGTACCACTGAGTGGAGAAATACAAATCATGCACCATCAATTCCCATTCTCAGTTCAATTTACTTACAAAAACAAGACTGTTAGGCAGCATTAGTTAACATGAATAAAAAGTGAGGTAGGCTTTACAATCAAAATGGATGAAAACAGAATCCAAGGATGATGCAGTGTAAGCTCGGTTTTGTCTTTGACACAGGCAGTGGCTTAAATCTTTCTAATTCATTAGTCCCTTTCTAATTCATTATGCTTGAGGCAATTCATTTTTAAAAATGGAGGTCAGATCATGATTGGGGTCCCTCCCATTCAGCTAAGAAGGGGGCGGAGATTGGATTGTTTTGGGGCCTCTATATATATTCTGCCTTTATTATTTTTAAAAATCATGCAAGGCAGCAAACATATCTAACACACCTTCTTCTTCCTATTTTTCTCACAACATCCACCCTCTGAGGTGAATTGGGCTGAGAGAGTGTGATTGGCCCAAGGTCACCCAGCTGGATTTTATGGTGAAGAAACCCAGCATGGCTGCCTTTGCCATGGGCTGAGTTTTTCACACTGCTGTTTTTTAACTCAATCAACAAGACTTCTTGATGGATTTCATCTAATAAGATATGCCAGTGAAATGAGAGAAATAACTTGCCATGTAGAATAATATTTCAACGGGATTTGCAACCTGCTGACTAAGCCTGGAGTTATATATATTTTTTAATGGTTTGCTAGTGGAAGAAAATTTGAGTGGATCACTGAAGATACTAAGTTAAGGTTTTTCACAGTGTGATCTGCATGAGATTTTGATAGGCTTTTATGGCAAACTAAGTCTCCCCCCCTTCATAATAGCAATTATGATCTAAACAAACAATCTGAATTTAAGCAAACAATGCCTCTGTTAATTGTATGACCCAAACCAGTCAGCAATTCTATCTACAGCTCATACAGAGGTACAGTGAAAAAGTACAAAACTCTCATTTTTATACACAACAAAAGAGGGAGTTTATTAATAATGGTTAGAAAATAGTTGCATTAGTGATGGTTAATTATGACTAAATATAATTAAATAAAATAAAATTTGTCCTAGGCTAAACCATTGTTTTTGGACTGCGACTCCCAACATGCATCTCAGTGACTAACCTTAGTTTGGAAATATTTTACTAACAGAAAGCACTTCTATTTGTGCAAAATTGGGCACAAGTGATGGCACCACAGTAAAGAGATACTGCTGGTAATTTCTAGGAAGAAGAAAAGTATTAAAGGTCTAATACAGGTTAGCATAAGTCACTGGGTGCCCCCATGAGGAAATTTGGAAATCCGCCCAGAGACAGAGAAGAACCTGCCTAAAATTGAGGTAAATGTATTCAACCAATCAGAACTGATGATGTAATCTGATGAGATCTGTTAGGTATCTAAACCTACTGTGAGGATATGCAGGGCACTCTTGCTTTAATCCCAAATATTAGTTCTTCTGTACAGAAAAAAAGTTCTTAATATCTTTCCACCCTTCTCTATATGATTATTGGCTAACTAATTCACACCAAGTGAAATGAACCACCCAGTTTTGGGCTGGGCCAACACAAGGACAATAATAATGACCCCTCAGTACTTCAGGAAAAAAATGGAGGATCGGAGATGTTTGCAATATTTAATGAAGATTGCTAAATGTGAACCTGTGCAATGGGAGCAATGGCCTTGGGTGCAAAGAAGTACTTTCTTGATAGCATTAAAACACTATTGTAGGGGTATGAAAATTTAGCTACAAACCTCTGGATCATCAGTATGCAGCAGTAAAAAGATACAGAAAACTCTGTCTTTTTTTAAGACATGATATTGGAAACTGGGTGAAAGCTATATTTTCACCTACAAATATTGTATATCTACTATATGAAGTAAATTTGGTAAACATTTCCCATATAAGAAGTGATCGAGGAGTCACATTTGTATTATCTTAGTGTACCTTTCTTCATTTGTGAGTTTGTAGAGATTTTTTAGAAATATTTTTAGAAAAAGTAAAATTTCCTTGTTTTTTTATAAAAACCTACCCGATTTTGTCATTAGGTGATCCACTTGATAGATCTGTATAAAGCTTTGCTCTTCTGATTTTTATTTCAAAAATGAAAGAGTTGCTAAACACTTTCTATTTTGCAGCATCTGTGGACCTATACCAAATATGTAGAAACTGGAATAATTTTTTTAGGGCTCAAGCTCAAGACTATTATTTTCTTCTCTACTTTCAAAGATTTAGCTTGGCTCCTCCATTTCTTTTCTATTTTTATTTTTTTTTGTAATCAGTAAAGTTTTTTTTAAAAAAAATTAAACTTAGAACCAATTGTAATACAAATGTTATGTATTGCTATTTGCTACAATGTTTAACTGTATTATACAACTACTATTGATATAATAGTTGTGGAAAAAATTAAAAATATTACAGTATAGAATATGAATGATTTTCATTCAAAACAGAAAAGTAATAAGCAAGCTGAACGCCTTCTGGAAATAAAAATCAACTCTTCCATGGCATAGAAATTATAATTTTGTTTTATTGATTGTAAATTAATTCTGAAAATTTAAACAATATTTATTCATCTGGCATGTCTGACACATTTAAGTTTCTAAATCTTTTTTCCCTTTGTGTTTATATCTGCATCAATAAACAATTATTACTGCTTGTTTATTAATATTGACTAATATATCTTACATCTTCTCCAATAATTTCAGGGCAGACTTTTCAAATAACAATACAATGTTTAAAAAGTACTGTGTATTCAAAATGTTTCTCATATTTTATCTCATTATCAATATAAGATTATCAGTATGCTGTAGTACTTTATCTTTAATTAGTTTCCACTAATACAAGAAGAATAAGATTTTTTGGATTTAGTCAAACCATATCAGTTGTGCAAAAGTGTTGAGTTGTCCAGGAACACCTAAATCAGATTTCTCTGACATGAAATTTTTGGAAATCTAATCTAAATTATTTAGATAGCACCAGATTGGGGAAAGCAAAACTGAAGAGTTTAGAAAAATAATCTTGTTTTAATGCTCAAAGCATTTATCCCTATGCTACAATTACTTGTACTGGATGAAAATGTGGGAAAAGACATATTCAGTCGTCTTAGCCTCCATCTATTATTTGAAGTGGGAATAGTCAAGATCTAGATTTGGGAATTCAGTGAGTTAGATGAGGCTATATGAGTTTCTAGCCAGCTTTATAGCTGAGTGATAGTTTAATTCTCATATCTAGGTGGAATTCTGTAAGTGAGAATGAGTGGAGTGTTGACTTACAGAATTTAATTATGTATCTTGTACAATACATGAAGTGGAGACCAATGAGATATTTATGGGTTGCATGTGTGTCACAAGTATAATCCTCTAGTTAAAAGTATTATCATCTGAGCTCACTTCAAAAATTTGCTTCAATATAATTGAGCAAGCAACAGATTGAGAAACATTGCTTTGTTCCCTTCAGCATAAATCTATGATCCATCCTCTAAGAATAGCAGTATGAATGTGGCATGGTATCATCATACCAATTTGTGAACACTGCAACTTACACCTACACAATTTCACTTTTGATCACAGAAAGCAGTGATAATAGAATTTTCAACTCTAAAGGCTAAAGATATTAGTTGGCACTGATGAAAAAAAAGAACCTACCAAATTTAAACTATGCTAATCTGTAGAATGAAGGAATAACACAATGCCTCTAAAGAACCTGACAATTAGGGGCAAGGATTCTAATGCCTTATATGGTTCTGTGGGAACAAGTTAAGAATATTTCAAGAGAATGGAGTACATAAAACCTGTAAGATTATTTCATTATCTGCCTAGCTCATATTTCCTCCTGCAGTAACATTCAATTAGTTTGTAGTGTTCCAAATTTAGCTCTGTGTTTTTTGAAGTTCAGTTGAACTTAAAAATTTATGCATTCAAGATATGAAATGGAAGGATGGTTTATAAATATCATTTTGGGTATTAATAGTCACTTGTGATACAACTACTATATCAAAGGACCACAATGAAGATCACTTGCAGTTTTTTCCACAATTTCCTTCAAAAATATGAAGTTGGGATACTGTAGTTTATAATTCCTTCATTATAGCAATACAGGGAAGCCTAGCAATTCCATAGGAATGGAAGAAACCAGTGGACCCATGGAGCATTCAACATATTGTAAAATAAATAAACAGTTTTCCCTACCAAGACTAGGATGCACGTAATCCCAAGCTATGCGGCACCAAGCATACATCTTGCCACAAAAAAGTTGGATTTCAAGTTTCATCCTCAGTGATATTCCAAAAGAAGTCCCTACAAAGTTTTTTTTCCCCCTGCTTTTCCTTGCAATAAGAAATTGGATTCAATTCTTGGACTCAAATTATTTTAGTTTAAGTAAAATATTTCCCTCACTCAAGAATTAACATACATGCTGAAGGCAAAGCAACATAAAATCATCTTACAAATTAACTGCAAAAGAATTTGATTTTCAAATAAAAGAAAATTTCATCACAGAGGTTTAATGAAAAAAAATCTTTCTAAAAATCAGGTAGCCATGTTGCTTTGTTCCTGCGCTTGCTTGGATTAATTTCCTGTAGCAGAGTTATCATTCTAGTCCAAGAGTGACATACATACATCCTGTTTGAAAATTGCTAGTCACCTTCATTTTTTCCAAAAAGAGGAATTGTTAATTGCTAGTATGCTTATTTACCAATGCTACATTTTTCTTCTCTAAAAATAAGTATTATCATTCATTCCAATAATAGTTACGTGTAGCCTTATTTTTAAGCAATTTAAAAATTTATTGAAAGTTTTCAGAACAAAAAAGATACAAAAACAAGTCAGAGAAAACAAACCTACATGCTATTTATAAAGAAATTCAGAAACAGTTGCATCAAAAGTTTCCTGCAAATTCAAACATAAATACATATCTAGTATTTAAAATACTGTTGGCACACATCTCCACATAATCACTATGAATCTCTTATTTGAAGCTACTAAATGCAGAATGATACAAGAAAAAATGGGTAGCACGACTTTTTTTTTTTTTTTGCATTCCTATTTTAATTCATTGAACATCTAGGAAGGTATGACTTAGTGATAAGTAAGGTTACACTAAGCCAAGATTTTTTTCCATACAGAATTCTTCCTAAGAAGTCAAGAAAAACAAACCAAAAATGGCTGCAAATGAAATATCCACTTAAATGGTTTTACCTGAAAATAATTTTTAATTAGAATTGGATCGTTCATGCTTGACCGATATAATAGTTATCGGAAATATTGCAAAATATTTACTTGCAGAGGGAGGGAGAGAGAGAAAAAGAGAGAAGGAGTCCTGTATCAAACAGATACCTTAGTGATGGGTTTCCAGTTCAAGAATTGTCCACTCCCCGTGTGGGGAAGAACAATCTTCTGAAGAAAAACTTGCCACTGTGATACTTGCTGAAGAATCATCCAGTGGAGATATTAGTTCAGTCCACTTACTGAAAGTGTCAAACTGTGCTTTACCCTGAGGTTGTGAAGTGTCTCGTGCCAGAAATAGTGTTTGGTTGATGAGATACTGTGCTAAGTTAAGGTCTTCGGGAACAGAATTTTTGATGTCCAAGTTTGATTCCTGGTCAGATAACAATTGCCTGAGAAGAGTCCAGTCCTGTTCGGCAAACTGTTGATCTTCAAAATCCATATCTAGAAAATTCACTTCAGACTCCATGCTCTGCTCAAAAGCTTCTCCAACATCCATCTCATATATTGGAGACAGGGCTTTTGGAGGCCGATGCTCATACATGCAGGTTTGTGTCAATCTGTCACAATCATCTATGTCTCCTGAAATAATTCACAATACTACACATTGTAAAAATTGTACAGGTTTTTGACTTTCTTTGTAGCGTGTGTGTACAGGTTACTTTAATTCAGTGCAGTAGGACAATTACAACCAAATAAGAAGTAAGAAGAAAATGCAACTGCATACAAAGTTCACAAAAATGGTAGTTTTTAAATTGTGTATTTTAAAAAATAAATGAAACAAAATATGGCTTATACATAAAGTTACCACTGGCAATTAACAATATACTGTACCTTCAGAATTAGAAAAAAGTTCTAATACAGAAAGAGGTAAGTTGTGTAAACCAACATTTAATGCACATGGATTTCTAAACCACTAAAGCCGCAACTTAAAATAGGAAAAACCGAGTATA